ACTGAGGAAGAGCTGCCTCCTCAAAGTACAGTCGACCTTAATGATGTGGATGGAGTAAAGCTTTTAGGACCTTCATTTGCTGATGTGGCACGACTCAAAATGAAAAGAAATACACGCCTTAGAGCCCAAATTTCCCTTCCTTTATTAGTTATCCAGTCCTACGATAATATGACATAACAAACAACTAAAATCCTCAGTGGCACAGTGTTTGTGGCTTACGCACCTGGAGTCACTGGGGGTTGGCAGGCAGCTCTACTGACCTTGGCTGAACTTGTTCATGACTATAGGGGTTGGCTTCTAGTGGGACAATACACCATGTGTCTCTCATTCTTCAGCTGACTAGCTCAGGAACGTTCCATGGCAAAGGCAGAAGTGCAAAGGACAAGCCCCAATGTTCAAGTCCATGCCAAGCCTCTGCTTGCTCCTGTTTGCTCATACTCCATTGGCCAGACCAAGGCGTATAGTGAAGGACAGAGTCACATCCCCTTCAGTGGGATGGCTTCAAAGTGACATGACCTGGGACGTTGAAACAGGGAAGGGTGAAGAACTGGGGCCATCAGTGCAATTGACCACACTTCCTTGACTACAGTGGATCTACAATCCAAACATTTGCTTAAATACTTCTAAAACCTATTTATGGTTTTCAATGTCTCACATTTTTAGATTAAAGAATGGCCCGGTTTTACAAGTCTTACCGGTCTTACCACCTGTAATGTAAAAGGCGCTTCCTTCTATTTATATTAGTTTATCTCTTTTGAGCTTTCATACACACATCTTTCTAGTATGAAGAGATTTTGTCAGTACACCTGAGTACCCAATTCATTCTTGTTCCATCTTAGACTATTTCTCTTGTTGTTCTTTTTGAGTCAGGCTTTGTGCTTTCTCTCCTAACCCCCTCTGATTCCTTTAATCATTCCAGTTGCTCTTTGGGGGAAACGTCTCCATTTCCAAAATTCTTCCTTTAGGCATGGCTACCAGCATTGTGTTCTTACATGTATGGGGTAATGTCTTCTGTTTTATTTCCAGAAACCTTCTGGATGATGCTAGCCATTGTAGTCATGCAAACTTATCAAGTTGAAGTCTTCACGAGACAACCTTGAATGACTTGCAGGTCCTTTACCTGAGTCAAAAGTGATTTCTGAAGGCTAATCAACTCTCAGGAACAGCCAACATATATACACCATGGACATTCTAGACCAGTTCCAATGTATGTAATTTTACTATCCGTCACAACTTTTGGTGGCAAAATTATGATTTGGCTATAGTTTGGATCATTTTTTCCAAACATTTGTCTATGGATCAATGATCTTCCAAAAACCTGTTTTATGATATGTTTTTCAGAACTTACAAAACTTCCTTCAGATAATCAAGGTATCACAAAATGAAGATTAGAAATGCCATGTGATCTTAAAAATGTTAACGGCCATTTCAGATATTTTCCTTATTTTCATCTTGTTGCTGTTGTTAGCTGTGATTGAGTCAGTTCCGACTCCTGGCGACCCCAGGTGTACAGAGTAGAACTGCTCCATAGGGTTTTTAAAGCTGCGACCTTTCAGAAGCAGATCACCAGGCCTGTCTTCTGAGGCACCTCTGGATGGGTTCAAACCGACAAACTTTCTGCTAGTAGTCGAGTGGGTTATTGCTCAGCAAATGTTCAAGACTGGGAGTTACAGAGAAAGTTATTTTCTCTGTCCAAGAAGTTCATTTAGAGTTAACCCCAAAGAAGATAGAGAAACTGAATCATCAGACAGTCTCATTAAAATAAATCCACACTGTTTTTAATGTAGTGAGTCGGTGCATGTCTTAGGAGAATGGATCTTGGTCTGTGATGAATCAGAGGATGAAATCGGTAGCAGGTAAATTTATTGGAACAAATTCTCATCTCCATGCAGGAAAGGTTTGCTGTCAAGATACACAGACAAAAGTAGGTAGTTCTCAATTCTTCATCCTGGGTTCTCTGCTGCGTGCAGGCCAAGGAGCAGGCAGAGAGAAGAACTGATGTCTGCTTCCAGAAAACACATTGCCTTTAAGTTCATTCTCCCTCAGCATCCGTCCTGTGACTCTCAGAGCAGCCTCAGAACTACCGACCGCTCTGACTGGGATCACAACAGAGGGTGCCGGACAGAGCAGGAGAAAAGTGTAGCACAAAATTCAAATTCACAAAAAAGACCAAACTTACTGGTCTGACAGAGACTGGAGGAACCCCCGAGACTATGGCCCTAAGACACCCTTCTGAACTGGATCTGAAGCTATTCCTGGTGATCGCCTTCCCAGTCAAACCATAGACAGGCCTATAAAATAAACAATAACACCCAAGAAGAACGTGCTCCTTAAAATGTTCAATTATACGAGATCACAAGGGCAACATTTGCCCAAAAGCGAAGATGAGAAGGCAGGAAGGGGTAGCAAATCTGGACGAAAGGAAACAGGGAACCCAGGGCAGAAAAGGGGAGAGTGCTGACACATTGGGGGGAATGAAACCAATGTTATGAAACACTTTATATACAAACTATCAAATAGGAATCTAATTTGCTCTGTAAACTTTCACCTAATGCACAATAAAAAATTTTTTTTAATTAAAAAAAAAAGAACAGCCTCAGAGGCAGGAGACTCCTCGTTCCCTGACTTTTTCAGGTAAATCCTTACTTTAGAACTGCCCACTTGAGATAGCACTGTTCAATATATACTATATTACTATGATTATGATCAAATTATTGTTAGCAGGGGCAGTGGTGGTGCAGTGATAGAAGTCTCCCCTTCCACGTGGCAGACTAGGTTCGATTCCCGGCCAATGGACCTCATGTGCGGCCACCAGCCGTCTGTCAGTGGAAACTTGCATGTTGCTATGATGCTAAACAGGTTTCAGCAGAGCTTCCAGTCTAAGACAGACTAGGAAGAAAGGACTGGCAATCTACTTCCAGAAATCAGCCAGTGAAAACCCTATGGATCACAATAACCTGATCCCGTTGTGCATAGGGCTGCCATGCGTTAGGGGCCAACTTGATGGCAGCCAGCAACAACAATTATGATCATCATCTTCTTCATTTTACAGATGAGAAAACTGGGATTCAAGGAAGTTAAGAAACTTGCCCAAGATCTTGCAGCTTGTAAGAGTCAGAGTTGGGCTTTGAACCCAGGGTCTCTGGCCCCGGAATCCACACCAGGCACTTACACTTGACAGCACTAACATGCACTCACTACCCTTGCAGGATACCGTATCTCAGCAGCCTGCTCATCTTGGGACCCCTTGTAGCACCTCGCACAGTACCCAGTGCATCAGGGCCATCTCAACACACGTGATCAGAGAATAGAAGCAAGCATCATCCACGCCTTCCCCAGGTAAACCCACACGGGTGCACCAAAGTGCACTAATTCACCCTGCACCGCTGCTTGAGGAAGGAGAGATAGATCAGCCTGCTTGCTTCTTGCATTGAAGTATTTTCACTTTTCCTTTAAAGGGCCCATACTTTCCTGCGGTTTAGCCACACTGCATGATTTATGCCGTTTCATTCTGACCTTTGCTCTGATCAACCGGTACAATTCAAAGGTAATAGTACTTAATGATTCAAAGATGGTTTCTGCGTGCATCATTACATGTCACTGCATAACATGCGTTCTCAGCATCTGGGCACTCAAAAGAACAGCAACCTGCCTCTTCAGCAGTTGTGACTCTCTCTCACAGTAGTAACGACGACGGCTTCCTGTTGTCCTGTCCTCACACAAGCACCATTCTGGTGGCTTTGTGGATTAATTCAGTCTTTGCAGCGACCTTATGAGGCAGACATGAGCATTGTCTTCTTTTTCACAGATGGAAAAACTAAGGTGAAGAGAAGTTCATTAACTAGCTCAAGTTCATATGGCAAAAAAATTGGTGGGGTCAGCATTTGAAACTAGGCAGCCTGGCTCCAAAACACTTAGGCACGACGCCAGTACACCTACTTTCAAAGCCACCCAGGACGATTCAGCTAATACACCATACACTACAGTCGCCTCCAACAAAGACCAAATTTAAACTGAGAAAGAGAAACAATGAAGATGTGAAGAGAGGAAAGGTTGAAATATGAGACAAGAAAAACCATCTCCCATGAAACTTGAGGCTGTCAACATCTGGGTTTCTCTGAGCTTGAGAGAAATAGAAACATTCTCTTGGCGGATTTCAAATGAGACAGTAGGTCTCAGATTTGTGAATGGCAGTAATTTAATTTAAGCATTCAACCCACTGATCGCTTGAAGAAAAAAAACAATAAGCTCCTGAACAATACTTTGGAAAGAATGTATTGCTATGCAAGTGCCACAAAAATCTTCTCTTAAATAATGTTGTTCAATTCTCCATCACTTAAATGTCTAAGGAGACTGCTTTAGGGGGTGTGAGAGAAGAAATTCCTACAACCTTGCACTTGTCAGACAAAGTATCTTGCTTTCCCAAGGCATGCTGATATTTGTCAGAACTGGGTTAATTATAGCTTTTCTTGGAGGGCTCTGGATGGATTCTGTGACCTTTGGAAGTCCCTCAGAGCTCCCATGGGAGGAGGCAGTTGCAAGTCCAGCTTCCCCCGACCCGTGGTTAGCTTAATTACTAGCTAACTCTTCCACTAAGCCTCCAGCTGCATTTTTCAGTTAATGTATCATTTGTAGAGAGTCTTTCGATATTCCTGTTGGTCTTGGAGGCTTGGGGAAATTATCAACTCAATAACTGATGACATTCCCATAAAATATTTTAAAAGCCTAACTGTAATGAGAATTATGGCAGTGACTCTATAAAGCATATTCACCATTTTCCAAGAATCTGGACTGAGACCAATAATTATTTTGTAACAATATTCCAAATGAACCCCAAAGTCAACTAAGTTTAGTCATATGGCACTCCAGAATCAGAGATACAGAAGCAAACATCAAATGCATAGGTAAGAGCATTTATTTGATTTCTCTTTTCAGTTTTATGAGTAGTAACCTACTCTTTAAGAAGCAACAAATACCCCTATGTCATCATAAAAACTCACCATCTTTTGGACATTCTCGTCAGTAATATTGGTGTTATAATCCCAAGATGCAAGTGAACTTTGATAAGACAAGTCTTCGGCTTCTTGGTTAAATGTGTCCAAAAATGTCCTGGCCAGATCCTCAGTGGTTGATTGAGCAGCAGTTACAGCAATAAGGCTCAGAAAGAGCCAGAAAGAGCCTGACATCTTTCCCCGAGCGCCAAGATCCCATACACTGAACAAGTCTCCCTAGAGTAAAAACTCCTCATAAGTTGTTCTCTCTCATCAGCCTTTGAACTTGGGTTGGGCACTGAGCAAGGAAGACAGGAAAAAAAAAAAAGGGAGAAGAAGAAATAAAAAAAGAAAACACAGTCAACAATCTGCTAAACTAATATAGAGTTCATCCTGGAGAGGACAGATATATAAACAGATTTTATAATGATCTTTTTAAATTAAATCAAATAAACAAATGTTATTTGTCAATCCTAGAGAACCATAGCTCTCCCGGCACTTTATGGGACAAATCAAAATGTTTACACATGGTTAATATGTTCCTAAAAAGCTTTTAAAGATATGCTGAAGGAGCTAAAATTTTACAGTGACAAAAAATGCCTATAATTATGGATCATGGGGGTGACCTTGTTGCTCATATATTTTTCAGACAATTCCATTAATAGTTATCCCCCCCCCTTTCTTTTTATTTCAGGCTCATATTCACAGAAACCCTCCACTTGGGTAGCATTTTCCCTTCCTAAATAAATGGCTCAGCCTTTGTTCTTATGGAATTCATTAATTTTTATTCTGATAATCTTTCATTTCCACGGCCATTTTAAAAAATGGTAAGACTATTGTCCACTCCACAGGCTAACGTTCCTGGTCTGGCTTTGCAAAGTTTGAAAAGGTTCGTCTACCTGTTTTCCGGTGACCATGTTAAACACTGGATCTATGACTGACTGTGCCTCCTTCCCTTTCGCTTACCTGTTCAAAACTCAGTTGAAGTCACAAAGAAAGAAGAATAATGCCACCATATAGTATGAAATCCAAAGAGCGTTGATGTGATGTTCTGGCCATCCCTAGCCATGCAATCATGGCAATGTGGGATTTGGAGACGTTTCGGTCGTTATCCTGTTGAATTTAAGGAGCTGGCTTGGGGTCCTCATTCCTGGGGTGTAGGCATGAACGTCATAGATAAAAAAAGAGGGGTCACTTTAAGTAGTAGGGCTCATGGGTCTGTTTGACTGTGATTGTGAAACCTTCACACAGGGAAACATTTCTTCACCCAGAAAAACAAGTCTCCCAAGTTCAGGTGAAATGACAATGGCCAGTTGCCATCGAGTCAGTTCTGACTCACGGCGAGCCCGCGTGTGCAGAGTAGAACTGTGCTCCACAGGGTTTTCATGGCTGTGACCTTTTAGAAGCAGAACATCAGGCCTTTGTTCCCAGGCACCTCTGGGTGGCTTCAAACGGCCAACCTTTTAGTTATTAGTCAAGAGCTTAACCATTTGCACCACTCAGGGACTCCATCAAATGGCAGTAGCCAAGCATTCATAATAAGAGCTTCCACTACTTGCCCTTATTCCAAAGTTGCATATATCATTGTACAATAAAGGAAAAAAATTATAAGTAACACAGTTCAAAGTGATTTATACTGTATTATCTCATTTAAGCATCACAACAAACCTATAGGTAAATATTATTGCCATTTTACAGACTATAAAATTGAGACTCAGAGAGCTTAAATAAACTGCCAAAACTCATTCATGTCACGGAGCCAGGACATGAATCCATGCAGTCTGATTCTAGAGTACAGGCATCTAACTAAGTTGTAGTCAACAGTCTAAAAGCACTAATGGAGGTAAAGACCAGCAGAGGGATGCCTACCTTCAGTGGTGATGATGGATTTGGTTTCGCCACATAAAAAGAGATGGGTCATTACTACCCTTGACATGAATCGAAATACATGAGCCTCTTAAGAAAAAAAAAAAAGTCATTGACAAATTTAAGACATAAAGAATGGAACAAGAAAGTGTGATGGGAAAAATATCGGTGCAGAAAGGGCTGTCCCAGCAAGGCTCCTCCCACATTCGAGGAAGCTGAGATCAATCCACTGCTAAAGCGCATTAGGAGAGAAATCAGGCAAGAGACAGGCAGGCTCTGAACAAAGAGTTGGAACGCGGCTTTAAGAAAGGCTGAAACAAAACTCCACCAGGCCACTTCCTGAATGAAGTGCTTGGGTTTCAGACAAAAAAGAAAAAAGAAAAATGGGAGTAGTTCAAATTCAATTCATTGAGGCAGAAAATAAGATTAACGTGATCAAATGGAAATGGAGAAAGCAAGATATGAAATCTGAAAGCTACAAACAGATGGGCAAGCAGCCTGAGATAACAGTGAGGCAGAAAAAGACCAGAAGCCAAGAAGCTAGGAGGAGCAAAGGAAGCAGGAGAATTGTCTACAGTAATTCGGTAGGAAAACCAGCTCATGATGGCCAACTTGTAAGCATAGGCTGAATGGTTGCAATTTGTGTTTACTCTCCACCGAAAAGATGCTGATCTTCTTATGGTCACCTGGAAGAGATCTCTTCAAGCCCATTGTGAGAAGGAAAAGAATCCATGGAGACATGGGGATGGTACCCAGAAAAAAATCAGCATAAAGGAACCAGTTGTCTTTGAGAAAGAATGGAAAGCCAAAAGAAATGAGAAGACAGGAGGTTCAGGAAAGCTGTTCTAATTTTCAAACGGGTCAGGGGAAGTGGATTTCATAAACTGTAGAGTGGAGGTTTGATCTTGACACCAGACAAAACTATAAAATGTAATTTTTTTACAGTGTGGTTTCCACTTAGAAAAAATATCTCTGGTCCATTAGGGATTTGCTAGGAATAAGTCAGGTGCTGCTTATCTCATTTCCTTTCTAATAAGAGACTGGAACACTTGAAAAAAATCCAAAGAGAGTATATCTTCCATTTCAATAAGGAATTTAACAAAACATAAAATTTTACAAGTAGATCCAAATGCCCTCAAAACAACCACAAAACTACAGGATTAGGCAGTCCTCTGATCAAGAATAGTTCATATACAAAACAACAGAGAATCTCGATTCAATAATTGTTGTTGTTAGTTGCCACCAAGTCGATTCCAATTCATGGCGACCCCATGTGTACAGAGTAGAGCTGGCCTCCATAGGGTTTTCAAGGCTGTGACCTTTTGGAAGCAGATCACCAGGCCTATCTTCCAAGGCACCTCTGGGTGTGTTTGAACCACCAACCTTTCTGCTAATAGTCAAGTGATTAACCATTTGGGGTTAACCAGAGACTCCTTATTCAGTAACTGTCCAACAATGATTTATTAAGCACCTCTTGTATATCAGCCACTAGTCTACATATTGAATATGTACTGATGAATAAGAGAGGAAAAGTGCCCGTGCACATAGTATTCTAGGAGGTGGAGGTGGAGGTAAGAAACAAATAGGAGAGAAGTGCTACGACTTCTAACAGGAGGATAAAGGAATGGAGAATGATGGGGTGGAGGGAGAGAGATTTCCTACAAGAAGGGCCTCAATGAGAAGATGCCATTGGAGCAGAGATCTGAAGGAAGGGATGAAAGTCGTGTGGCTGTCTAGGGGAAGACTGTTCCAGCCAAAGGGAACAGCCAGTGCAAAGGGTGTAGGCAAGTCTCAAGAACATCAGAGGATGTTGTGCCTGGAGCCCGGTGCACAGGGGAAAGTGGCAGGAGGTGAAATCTGAGAAGGAGCAGGGGGCCAGATCAGGAGGACCTTAGAGAAAATTGTAGGACTTTGGCTTTTATTGTGAACAAGATGGGAAGACATGAGAGGGCATCAGGCAGAGAAGGGATCTGATAAATGTTTTCATAGGATCACTCTGGTTGCTGCTTTGAGAACAGACACTCAGGGGTTAGGGGTGGAAAGAGAGAGACCAGTGAGGGAGTCAAGCTGGTTGAAGATAAGCTTGATGTGAGTTGTAAGTCCAACTTGACTGTCCAAGAAATGGTGACTCCATCTTGGACTATCTTAGACTTTGGTAATAGAAGTATTAGATAAAAAATAATCTAGAGCATCATGTTCATTTCGTTTAGAGAGACACAGAAGTGCATGCAGAGGAAAATAAATAAGAGAGTAGATGGGTTGATAAATAATGTAATTTGAAGCACAGTTCTGACATGAAAGAGAAGACTTAGAGTGGACAGTTCTCTTCCATCATGAGACTGTCATTTAGAAGAAGACCTAGGTAACATAATGGATTTGCTCTGCCACTTATTTAGCTGTGTGACTTTAGACACCTAATTTCTTTATTTTGAAGATGATGATAATAGTATACCTGTCTCATGGGGAGGTGAGTATTATATGAATTAATACATGAGAACAATTCGGGGAACCTAGTAATAAAAACCACTCGAAATGAGAGCTGTGTAATCATTAGGGAACTTTTAAAAAAAAAAACATTTTAGGTAGAAATCTTTCTAATATATATTCTATTTTAATCAGAATGTTGCCTGAACATTGTTTTATATCCTTTTTTTTTTCTTTTCAGATGACTCAGTGTCATCGTCTTGAACATTGTTTACCAGCTAAGCTATAACGTGACAATGTTCTCAGACCTTATACTAAATGGCTCCAAACAGCTTTATTGCTATTAATTCTGCTGCCTCGGCAGGTTCTGAGTTCACTGTCACTTCTTAGAGAATCAACTTCCAGTAGCCCCGCCCACTGCATATCCCCTCCCTGTTATGGATCTGCTGGCCGCTAAAACTTAAAGGGAAACCAGATAACCAGAAAGTTCAATCAGAAAGCTCCCTCTTCATAGGCTCAGATCTAAGGCTGGGTCTTCACTCAGCTTGAGCAAAGTACATAGACTTTGAGATATATATTTCCCTTATTGCTGCACTTTTTATATACTTCCACTGAGCCATAAATGGTGAGGTTTCCAAATAACTAACAAAAAATCCCTCTAGTTCCCCAAGTAGAGAAAATAACTTTGGTAAACAGGGGGAAAAGGATATTTGGTACCATTTCTTGTCTTAAAATGGATGGAGTCATGCTTCTTTTAGGAAGGAAGAAGGGGATCAGGAATAGATAGCATGGAGAAATTTAAAACTGCCTGGATGACCAAGAATTATTTGCATTTAGTACAATTGGTTTTGACCACATGTTTATTGCATGAAGTGAATTTGGAAGTGGTTTACAGAAATACATGACAAGCTGGCATTTTAGCTCAAACAAAAGGATAAAGTTCTTTCCTGTTTACATTTCTAGTTGCGTAGCAGTCCCTTTTTTCTACAGATCAAGCAAAGATA